TCAGTCTCCTAGAAGATTATCAAGAAATCCTCAAAGCCATTTCCATGCTCAAGGTGGACAAGGTGATTTGGAAAAGCCAGCACGTATTTGCCAACAGTAAATCATGCCTGACTAACCTGATTGCCACCTTTGATGAGATGACTTCCTTGGTGGATGGAGAAGGAACAGTGAATGTAATTTTCCTTGACTTCAGCAAGGCTTTCAACATAGTCTCCCCCAGTATCCTTGTAGCCAAATCAAGGAAACATGGACTAGATGGACTACAACATGGGTGAATAACTTGACTGGATTGTCAGGCTCAGAGCGTACTGGTCAACAGTTTAAACTCTAACTGGTAGCCAGCTGCAAGTGGCATTCTTCTGAGGTCAGCACTGGGTCCAGTGCTGTTCAACATTTTTGTCTATGTCTTGCATAAGGGGATGAAATGCACCCTCAGCGAGTTTGCAAATGACCCCCAACTGGGGGGATTGACTGATATACTGAAGGGCAGGGCTAGCATTCACAGAGACCTTCACTAGCTGGAGGAAGGTGCCAAAAAGAACCTCACAAAGTTCAATAAAAACAAATGCAAGTCCTGCACCTGGCATGGATTAACCTGGTATGAGCGCATAAGCTAAGGACCTACTGGCTAGGGAGCAGCTCTGCAGAAATGGATCTTGGGGTCCCAGTGAATAGCAAGTTGAACATGATTAAGCAGTGCACCCTTGCAGTGGTAAGACCAGCAGCATACTGGGTGGTATAAGCAAGGGAGTTGCCATCAGGTTGACGGAAATTATTCTTCCTGACTACTGAGCACTGCGCAAACCACATCCAGAAGGCTGCATACAGTTTTGGGCTTCGCACTAAAAGAGAGATACTGACAAACGAGAGTTCAGATGGTCAGGGAGCAAGAGCATATGATGTGCAAGAAGAAGCTGCGGGAGCAACTGCAGTCTTCCAACACCTAAAGGGGGATTATAGAGAAGACAGAGCCAGAGTTTCTCAGAGGTACACAGCGAAACAACAAGAGGGAAAGATCACAAGTTCGAACATGGGAAATTCTGACTGCAGATTAGGAACCACTGTTCATTCACCATGACAGTGTTGAAGCACTGGCACACATTGCCCAGAGACACTGTGAAATTTCCACCTTTGGATATTTTCAAACCTGACCAGACAAGGTCCTGAACAACCTGATTTAACTTCAAAGCTTTGAGGCTGGAGCAGCTTTGTGCCTGCTTTCAGCAGCGACTTTGGACTAGATGACCTCCAGAGGCCTCTTCTAACTCCTGATGTTTGTACGACTCTATAACTGCCATATAAATATATATAAAACCCACAATGTTAAACCATAAAAATGAAACAAAGCCAAACTTACACAGCTTTGCATATACAATGTAATGTTGACATGCAGACATGTCCCATGAGGGGAAAAAAGAAATGTATAATAGATAACACCACACGCTGATGGAAATAAGAGGGAAGCACTATTATGAAGACCAATGTACATGAAACAAACCAAGATGGGATTTAAGCACGCAAGATCACCAATATGTGTCACGGCTCCTATTTTATCATTCAGCTTTACTGGAGCAAATGATTTACAACACCACAGCGAGAATCAAAAGATCCGGTCTGCAGAGACAAAGCTGAGTCCAACATAAAAATATTTTTGCTATGTTTATTTTGTAATTATCCCACCGACACGCACTGCCAAGAGCTGGAGAGCTTGTGTCACTGCAGTCATTTTGAAGCCTAGTTAAAACAGTCAGTGAGTCTGCAATACTTCATAAATGAACACACAGAAGGTTAAGCACAACTGACTTTTCATCTCTATTTTATTTCACAGAAGCAACACATTCTGGGGTGAGAAGGAAGTTCAGGGAAAACCTGCAGTTCTCAAATGACATTGTTCATAATTTAACCAAAACAATAAGTAAATGCCATGAAACTTGTGCATATTCAACTCTCTGAAGAGATCAGCCCCGTCTTAAATAATGGGAAAAGAATTAATTAAGCCTACCTTCAATGAAACACTCTTCAAAATCTGGCTTTCTTTATTATAGACAAAAAGTTTTCTGTACACTATCATCTCTGTTTTTCTTGACAGTAGGACACTCAGTTATTCCAAAACTTGGTCACAAGCACCATGAATGTAAACAATTAAAACTTTCATTTCTAGCTAAGTATCAATAAACAGAACAGAAATACTTGGAGACAGAACCAGTGGAGACAGCATAAATTCAGAGTCCGTGGAAGCTCATTTGGCTTTCTTCCCATTAGGATTAATGTGGTAAAATCTGGAGCTGAGATGTTTGCGGAGCTGCCAGTTAATGCTGCACATGAGCCTCACGATTGACACTTGAGCTATCTTGTGCTTGTTTGTAGACCTTCAGTATCAGTGCTTCCTGCTGCGTCAGGAGACGGCCCCCAGATGTGCTGAACTCCTTCTTGCAGAGGCATACCCTAGGCGGAAAGATGTTTCAAAGCCTCCTCTTCGTTAAAAGCCCCAATCAGCTTTTGTCAGGAGTCTGGATGCTGGCATGATTCCAGGATCAGACAGACACATCAACTCAAACCAGTTTTTGATTTCATGTTCAGATCAAATGTTATCTATATTATTAAAATATTGTGAAAAGGCTTTTTTTTTCCCCTGTTCCAAATAATGAATACTAAATTTTTTAACAGATTTGAACCAAAATTATCTTGTTGGTTGTCATATCTGGAAGTGGCTAGTCTTGATAAAATGGCTGTCCCATAAATATACAATGCTATTTCATCATTTATTTTTGTACTACCATGAAAATGACAGAAAGTAATGAATCATAAGTTTAAACCTGTGGAGCCTGACAGTCCTAGGCATTGCTGCTCGTATGGTGAATTGCAAGCTGATGGAAAAAACTGCTGGTCTGACCTCACAGTGTTTTACAAGTATTTTGACAGGGTACAAACAATAACATGGAACACAATTTTGGATAAATCGGGATGTTGTATTCAGAGGGGGTTTGATCTAAAGGCCCGAAACTCAGGGGAAAGGCTGCATGGACCCTGAAGAAGTATAGAGCAGGTAAACACGTGCACGATGTGACAAATCCTTCATTGGTGCTATTTCTCACCCCAGACATTTCTTAAAAGAACAGTTGGCCCAAAACTGCAGTAAGCCTGAACAGTTTGGAGGGCAGGAGGAGGCTGATAATCTCCTGTGCTCTTAGAGCTGGAATAGATTTTCCTATTTATACATGGTGTTTAGCACAAAAGATGAGGTCTACCTCTGGTACATGCTATGATAGCATCTCGCAAAGAGGAGACTTGGACTTCAGCCTGATGCCTCTTCCCCTGTGTGGCGAAAATGACAGCAAAAGGAAAAAGCCTTGAGGAGCAGCATCCTGACTCTTGACTATCCCTCTGGCGTCTTCCGGATTGGGGGTGCAGGTTTAATGGAATCCCCCCTCCTCCCCTATAAACCTGTACTAAATTTCCCCCAGACTTTCTTCTGGAATTATTTGTACAAACTGTGCATTTACTTAAATGGGTCAGGGGACCTGTTCCACTTTTTGTAAATATTATTTAGAGTATGTGTGCGCTTTTTGTTTGTTTGTTTGCTTGTTTGTTTTCAAAGCAGCAATTCTTCTGAGTAAAACTGCCTGGTAATATAGCAAACATTTTTCTCCACAAATGCGTTTTTATTCCATCCACCACAATGCCATCATGGTAGGTCTTCAGCGTCTGTACCTGTATATAGGTTACATACAGCATTATACATACACCTTTTAACATGGTCATTTTCTCACTGGGTAGGCCAGAGCTGCAATCGGCACCACTTCTCTGCCAAAAATGTAACTTTTCAGAACATGCATGATGCAATCTGTATATACAACTTAAATCCTCGTGGAGGTACTTAGCTGTCATATTAATAGCTTTTTCCTTTTTTTTTTTTAATACCAAATGAATTGGAGCAAAACAGGTTATCAAGAATGTGTGTTTTAAAAACATCACTTGAAAAGCCAGTAAAATTTGACTCATTCTCCTTTTGGAGAGAGGCATTTGAGAAGAAACGTGTTTTACTCAGAAAGAAGTATGCTTGCATTGGAAATATGAAGAATAAAATAACAACCCCTTAAAAAATAGGGAGCTGCCATATATTTGGGACTAGTGGTGTAGCAATATATAAAAATGCTGGGTTGTCTTCCTTGTTTTGTATTCCAAAAAGGTAAGCTCTGTATTGCCTGAGTTAGAAGTAGCAAACATGGTTTACTTGGGTTTACCACTGTCTACATGAGCGGTCAGTCAACAGCCCAGATGGCTCCCTTCCATCTGGAAAGGATGGGCTTTTTGAGGGGATGGGTTGAAAATGTTCTGTAAGGTTTCCCTTTTGGCACTTTCCACATCCTGGACTGTCAAAGTAACAGGTACAGCTGAGCTTCCTCTTCTCTGGGGAAGGAGTGAAGCTTCTCCCCACCTCAGCACGGCCAACTCTCAGAAGTCAGAAGGAACCGTGTGTGTCCTCACAGGAAACGCCTGACTCTACCGGAGACGTGTTAATGGCACCTGCTGTGCTTAGAGCTGCCTTTGGAACTTGTGAAAGGGAAAGAAGACCTCTTTCTCCTCCCATCTTTGCTGAGTTAAGGGAATTTCTCAGAAAAGTTAAAGCAGTTTGGTGTCACAAATCACTCTTCAGTTTCTGCCAAAGAAAACTGGATTAGTATGTGCCTCTTTTGGGATTTCCTTCACCACCAGTCCAAGGGTCAGTCATAGAAATCATCCACCTTGCACTGCCATGGACAAGCCTCTGATCATCCCCTCCAGCACAAACTTACAGGGTGCAAGCTCAGACTGCTTTACTGTACGTAGTTTGGGGACACCCATCTCTGAGGGATCCGAATGTTTTCTTCAAATATTTAGCATGCTCTGCTGCATCACCTTCTCCTCAGCAAGGAACCTTCTGCAAGCTCAAGGTGGGCCCACTGCTGTCATTCACAAGTAGAACACGTTTGCCCTGGAAGGTGTAAGATAGAGAAACCTCAGATGTAAAATTCTTCTTCGTTAGCTGGTGAAGCTGGGCAAACACTACCATGATCATCCAGGGAACAAGAAGCTGCTCTTGAGGACTGTTTGGGCTGCTTGGAGAGAGATGCTGACATGAATGAGCTGGAAGACCATTCAGAGAGAGAAGGCAGTGAACCATCAACTGACTCAAAGGTATTGCACATGGCTGATACAGGCCTTCCGCTGGTGGCTGCCTCTTTAGTCTTACCGACAGTTTGCTTCTGTGGGGGAAGAGAGGCTTCCAAGTCATTGCAAAATCCATTAAGGGCAGAGTATGCAGAGACCACAGACAGGTCTGAGAAGGACAGCTTCATCCCTGTGTCTACATCAGTCTCCTGGGCACCCTCCAAGTCGTCAATGTTAAGCCTGGGGCTGCATCTCCATGTTTTTAACCTGGTTGCAGGTGACCCAGTATTTAAGAACTGAAATGGTTCACTGAAATGAAAAGTCTCTGAGGCTGAGGAGGAGTTCACTGTGGGCAAGCAGAACAGAGACTTGCTTCGTTGAAATGAACATGAAATGCTGGAGGCACTGCTGGATCTGCGTGTGAAGTCTCCTCGATCACTGTCTCTCAGGTCCTGCTGGGAGAAACCAAGATGATGACCAAGGCCTTTTGCGTGATGTACCTTGTTTTGACCCATTTCTTTTGGTTGTTCAGGGACAGATTGGTGGCTCTGAGGAAGAAAGGCTGGCAGAGTGGTGAAGCGGGAATCTGTTGACACAGATGGATATGGTTGCTTGTTCTGCTTTGCAGACTTCCTACACCAACTGCGTGCTTGCTGCAGCCGGGAGAGGGAGAAAAGAAGATCACATTAATACAGAATTGGCAGTCTTACAACCGTAAGTCTCCGTTGCCGAGTTGTTACTGCAAATAATTACGAAGCAGACTTCATTCAGTATGCTTGCAGCAAATGTTTCACTTCAATAAAAAAGAGAAAGCACCCTGCCAAAATCCCAAATATTTACATAAGAAGCCTTGAAGACAACATGAAAAAATGGTAGAGGAGCCCTGCCTTGCGGGCTGAATTACACTAGCTTGAAATTCTCACTTACTATTGACTTGTTCAGATTCATTCATATTCTGTCTTCCAACATTATTGCCTTAGTGGACAGCTAAAGAACAAAAATGAAGAAATGGGAGATGTATGTTACCATCATTATTATTTCTCATTTCTTCCTTACTGTGGTGCAAATGTTTTTATTTTTTCCTCTGAAACATCAAAAAGCCTTTAGCAAGCAACCTCATTCTCTGTTGTCTCAATGGGAATTTACTACTTCTTTCAACTCTTTCACATTTTCTCTTTCACATCTGGTTAGTTGAACAGTGCACCCTTGTCGTGGTTTAACCTCAGTCGGCAACTGAGCACCACACAGCTGCTCACTCACTCCCCCCGCCCTGTGGTGGGATGGGGGAGAGAATCGGCAGAGTAAAAGTGAGAAAACTTGTGGGTTGAGATAAGAACAGTTTAATAATTGAAATATAATAATAATAATAATAATGATAATAGAATATACAAAGCAAGTGATGCACAATGGAATTGCTCACCACCCACCGACCGATGCCCAGCCAGTCCCCGAGCAGCGGCCCCCCCGGCCAGCTTTCCCCCAGTTTATGTACTGAGCATGACATCACATGGTATGGAATGTCCCTTTGGCCAATTTGGGTCAGCTGTCCTGGCTGTGCCCCCTCCCAGCTTCTTGTGCACCTCCAGCCTTCTCAGTCAGTAGAACATGGGAAGCTGAAAAGTCCTTGACTAGTGTGAGCACTACTTAGCAACAACTAAAACATCAGTGTGTTATCAACATTATTCTCATCCTAAATCCAAACCACAGCACTGTACCAGCTACTAGGAAGAAATTAACTCTATCCCAGCTGAAACCAGGACAACCCTAGAACCCACTTGCTCTGTTTTCTAGCTCCTAATGACTTTAAGGACAGCTTTGGACACCTAATTTGCTTGCAGACACCTAGACTGAAGATCTAACCTGATGGTTATGATCTGAATCTGGACGTGAATCTCATTCCTAGGGCAGGATTCAGTTGTCTACCTGCCAGATACCTGAGCATTTGCACAGGGACAGCAGCTGTGACAAATGGGGAGCCAATGCCCTTCTCAAGAAGCTGCTGGAGGCCAGGCGGCCTTCCTATGGGATTAGACTGATGTGTGGGTAACTGAACTGAGGCCCTAGTGCCCGAGCAATCATAAGGTTTTTAATCATCTCATTTACCTCAGTAAGACTTTTAGAAGTTCGTATTTTAAAAAGTTTAATTTAAATTCTTCTTACTAGAATTTCTCACATAATACAAAATGCTGAACAAAAGATGAACTATCCATTAAAAAACCTGAACCACAAACTAATAAAAGGTTTCTAATCACAACAGAAGTAGAAGAGTCTTCTGGGGTGAATAATGGATAAAGATGGAGCTTGATCATTTTACCAAAGAGATTATATGACATGACAGAAAGGGATGAGACCTGGCAACCAAGGAGGTCCTTTGTATCTGCTGTCTTTAAAAGAACTCCATACGTTGCTGCTTCTAACATCTTGCTAGTGCACAGCACTGTGTTAGTGACCCAGATCTGTCATACCCATCTTCTATTTTTTATTTCAGTGATTTTATAGGCAAAAAAGGATTTTCACATCTGCAAAAAATGTTTTGCTCATTCGCGATCATCTAACTAGAGGTGATTTATAGAACAGCCAAACCATAGGAGTTCACTTAGGCATTGTAGATTAATATCTATATATACACTAATGTATATGTAATGAGGTATGTTAATTCATAACCTATTTCTGTATAATATAATAAGCTGTTTTCCTTAATGCCATCAAGAATTAAATGAATTAATGGGTAAATTAGCACAGTAGTGTAGCAGTTTCATTAACTGGTAAGAAATTGAGTACAAAAGAGTCAAATAAAGTAAGTCAAATTGTCAACAAAACATTAACCAGAAATCACTTTAGACCTCTACACGCAACATTATTTTATCTATGTAATAGGTGAGCTAATTTGTTTAAAAAATTACTCAGCAAGACAAAAGGCTTGTGTCCATGAAGAAAATACCAGCTGTTCCTTAAATGAAGACATTTCTGGATAACCCAGCAATAACAATATGACATGCTGAAAGTACACAACCAAATCACTGCACTCTTTTGATGAGTTTTTTCAAGAAAACACTCCTCATTATACTGCTGTTTGCACTAACCAAAGGTACTATTTTTTCTGTTCAGTAGCTCTGATAATCAGATACACTAAATGGACTTAACCACCGTGCTTGCTGAATCAACAGAAGCACCTATAGAACACTTCTCCTACCTCTCAGAGAGAAGATGGTGGATTGCCTGACCATGGCTAGTTTTTATGCTATATTCTTATGTTTTCGTAGACTTAGTTGATAATTTGGCAGATCAACCATCCAAAGAAACCAAGGATCCAAGCAAGTGCAGTCTTCTTGTTTGTGAAAAGTTAAGGAGGCCCTTGGGACCACAAGGACTGGTAACAACTTGGACAAAACTGTACCTGAAAACACAAGGCTTTTGGGGACAGATCTGACACATGCACTGGGGAAGAGTTCTGTGGGCAGTACGAAAGCCTTGCCTTTACGTTGCGCAGACAATACCATCTGTCTATGTTTATAAAGCAGAGCCCACAGACTTCACAGGTAGGATTTAGTTGTCTAGTTAATACAGCCAATGGAGTCTGGAGAGCAATTCAGTTTTCCCTAAAGGAAAGTCCTGTATCTGGTTAGCTGAATTGCTCTCTAGGTCGTTGGGCTGTACTGAGTACATATCCATCAACTACAGTGAGAACACAGACTGTAGCTCACACAAAAATACCTGCAGTTAGACACCAGTTTTACGTGTCTACAATCTGGACCCGAACCAAATCCTGCAGAGATAACTCCCATATGTTCATTTTGTTTTAGTGTATAAAGGACGTATTTTGCACACTAGTGAAAGTCTCATGCACTTAGATGATGGTAATAATTTGTTATTCTTATTTATTGACATAACTTTCGACACGTATTCCAAAGAAAAAGTAATTTAATTTGGTCTCTCAGGTCACCACTGGTGAGAGATACTGGGTCTAATTCAGTTGTGTCATTGTAGGTACCTGCTGTATTCTGCCTGGCCTGCAAGCACAGACATGGGCCACTCCATATCAGGGATTTTGGTGCCTGGGAATGTTCCTGGGCACGTTTAATTTATTAATACAGGTAAAGTCTTAAGCATTTTGGGAATAAAGCACAGACACAAGAATAGCTGTTTTGAGCTCTTTCTAATATTTACAAACCCTCCAGTTTAAATCAGCTTATGTTAGTTTTGGATAGTAGATATGCAACACAATGACTACAGGTGCAACCAAATTACCACTACTCAAAAGGACGCTTACCCAAGGCATCGCCCACAAGGGGGTGGAGTGGAGGGCAATGCCAGGATAAATGGATGAGGTGAGATGAAACACCCCTGCTAGAAACCCTGGGGGCTCTCATGTAGGAACTTTCTAACCAAAATGCAGACGAAAAGTAGAGACTCAAAGGAAAGGGGAAATGCACTTCTAAGTGGGAACACTTGGAAGCGGCAACCTGCTCCGTGCAGCCGAACAGCTTTAAGTACCTGGCCTAACTGGAACATACTTACACTAACGAGAAAAATCTACTTTAGGTAAGCTATTAGTTTTAAGGTTTTGCTATTTTTAACCTTTTTCCTAGCTCTTTTAACGTTCCTGTGGACAGATAAGAGCATTTCATTTTATACAAGGAATTTGCTGTTATTCCTACTTCTGGGTCACAGCTCCTGGTCAAGCCCAGTCAGCCTGGCAGGAGGTAATGGTGGATCAGCAAGGAGAAGGGGACAAGTACAGCCTGCCCTTAGGATGGCTGCCTGCAGGGCAGGCCAAGAGACATCACTAACGCAGCTTATTTCTGAACAGCTCTGTTTATAGAAAGAATCGTCTACCTCGATCCTTTTTTGTTTAGATGTGTTATGATTTAGAAGACCTATTTTCCAATGCTGCTCTTCATGATATGGGCAGAAATGGGGAATAATAGGGGGAGATTTTTTTAATACTTTCATCTTAAAGCAACATAACTGAAAACTTTCCTGACTCTTGAGAATACCGGACTGCACAACTGTACTACAGGTAAAGTGTCAGAAGCTCCATCTCATGAAATACTAGTGAATAAAGATTACAGGCTAATCCTATATTGTAGAGAACTAGACTATGTGGAATAATAAGACTTTTCTATATCTACATTTTGTAGCTTGTCAAAGATCATAGAGAGGATTCGATGATTTAGCCAGGATTAAAACTTAGGCAAAACTAGCTCCTAGTCCCGTGCCAAGGCCTTTGACTGTGCTCCCTCGTACCACCCTGGCATGGCACAGGGAGAGCTGCATGCAGCCTGTGCGTTCATGTGATCGCTCCTCTTCGTTTTAACCTTACAGTGCCTGACAGTCCCACCAAGTTCAGACTGGACTTCCACGTGTGGCTGCTCTCGGGAGAAACCACGACAAGCAAGCGGGAGACGCTGATCTTCTTCTGCCCTTTCGGCCATGGGATGCTGAAAACAGCAAGACCTATATTTGTGCCTTGAGGACAGTGTGATGCACATGCAGCTTCTCTTTTCAGCAGAACAGCCTTCTCCCTCCTCCCCAGTTCTCCCCTTGGCTTTGGAAGCTGTTGCATCTGCTTTAATTTTTCTGAATTTTTTTCTTTTTTAAGTCCTTATTTTCAGCCTTCTCACAGCTTGCTTTCTGCATTGCCTGTTACCTG